TCAGCCCGGCTTTAGAGGCGCCGCTGCCTTTCTGCGCCGCCTGAACGTGACCTGGTGCAATAATTTCACAGCTAAAGGTCGGAGATGTGAAGGCAGGCAGCGTCAGCTATGGAAGTCATACGAGGACGAAGAATCCCAATGTGCTGAGTACTCTTAGGGGTTAATAGACATTAGCAACAGAAAAACTTCTTTGGTTTTGGTTTGGGTTTTTTTTTTATATTACAGAGCACATGACTAATTAGCAACAGAAAAACTTCTTTGGTTTTGGTTTGGTTTTTTTTTTTTATATTACAGAGCACAAGACTAAGAGAGAGCACCAGTCCACGAGGAAGGTAAGCAGAGCAGCAGTGAGCATTTGAGATTCTTCATTAAATTACCAGCTGAGGAGCAAATAGAAGAATCCCCATAGTTTAGGGACAGGTATTGGTGATGAAAGGTGAAGTAGTGGTGCCTCTCAAGAGCAGTTCTCTGTTCATCCCGTCTGCTTTTTATCGCAACCCTGACTCCTTTCTTCACACGTTGAAAATTTTCTCCTACATCAATTAAATCTTTCCGGATCTGGTTCCCCTTCACCAAAGGATTTACCAGGTGGAAGGTGGCAGTCTTGAAGAGTTTGGTCCCTAGGGGGTCCCTGAGTTGTCCCCACCTGAAAACCCCTCTTAGGGGGATGTCCTGGTAAAAGAGGAGGAGATTGTGGCTGCAGTGGTGGCTTTGCCTGGCTTGCTGGAGAGCTGGGGAGCATCGTGGGTGTAAATCACACCGCTGCCGAGGCAGCCGTGGCTCACCAGGAGCCAAAGGCCCCAAAACGAAAAGCTGTAATCGGCGATGAGCCATCGATTGCCGGTTGGGCTACTGTCATATGTCCAGGGTGGTTACGTGCTGAATTGGCTCAAACGCCAGCAAAGTACTCCGGTTTGCCGGGCTAGCCCAGCTGGTGGTCCGGCTCCCCCAGCGCTGCCTCGCTTCCCAGCCGCTCGGGGCTATCGGCCCGTTGCTCGGTCCAGCCCCGAATGCCGTGAAGTTCACCAGCCACGTTCCCCGGCGTTACCTGTTCAGAAAACAGAAGTATTTATTCAGATGGATGCATAAAACCAGTCCTTCCATGGGAAAACCTGCGGTCACGACCCAGACTGAGTGATGGGCTGTGCCTGTGGCTGGCATGGCAATCTTGGGCTGATAGCCCGCGGGGCTTTCATCTCCTACCATCTCCTCTTTTCTGCCAGCTTGTCGTTTGGCTTTTTTCATGTAGTCTCTTAATTTTCCCCTTGTCTTCTTGCTTTCTCATCCTTTTCCCTAGCTTTTATTATTACAGTGCTGTCTTCTCTCCCTTTTCACCAGGGAACATCGCCGTTTCTCTCTTCCCTTCCCCAGGCATATACACGCAGACCCGTAATTCCCAAATGTATTTAAGTGCGATACTCGATAGCCTGCAACCGTCCTGCGAGTTGTCACAGCAAGGGTGGTAAAAATCACGAATACCAGCACAGATCAAACCAATTATTGCTCGCCTGAGATGACCAGATGCAGTTTTATACTGGATTTAAGCCAATCCAACCGTGGACTGCTGCCAAAAGGGCCGGTCCCATCCTTTCCCCTCCTCCCTCTTCCCTGCCTTGGCTTATCAGTAAGATAGGAAGACCTGGCTGAAGTTTAATGTTGTTTCTCTGGTTTTGCTGGGTTCATGTTCAGCTGATGCAGCAAGGTCGTGCTCTGAGGCTTCACACTCGTTAGTGCCAGCGCAGGATGGGCAGGGCTGCCCTTTGGGTGGCAACACCATCCTAGAAGGGAGTTTGCCAACCCTTAAACACATCTTCCTCTGCCAGTAGTTACGTGACAGAGTGACAAGATGTTATATATCCATTTTAAATATTTATTTAGAGTGGGGAGAAAAAATAAGGATTTTATTTGTAAGAACTTTGGACAAGACTAGCTCTTTGCCAGCAAGAAGTGCAGTCCTGATGCTTTATAAATGACAACCAAATAGGCCGATTCAATAGATACACTCACAAGGAATCTGATAAAGTGCTTGGCAAAAAACCTGCCTATGCCTAAAAAAAAAAACCAAACAGGATTGTTGCTTTTGTGCCCTGATGTACAAAGCATTTCCCCCAGGTTTTTGGTTTCTGGATTCTCGGAAAGAGTCATTTATTATAGTGAAAAAAAAAAGTGTGAAAGCATGTGATAACCTGCAGGTGGCCACGGTGCTCTGTGGTTTAGAGAAATGAAAAGAATGGGGCAAAACACTTCTCAATAAACAACACGAACTAGCCTTCAAAAAAACCACCTCGGATTCCAGGGAGTGTGTGGCAATCTCGTCTGCAAAGCATGGGAACTAAAGCAGGAGCAAACTAAAATGGGACGGCTGCTGCAGCACAGTCAGGCTAAAAAAATCTACAAAAACATTGGTTTCCCTGGCAGTGTTTCTAAAATTGATTCCCGGTGGTTACCTTCCCCGGGAGCCTCCGTGGGGCACGTGGAGGATCGGAGCTTCAGCTGGTTACATCCATGGCAGCCCAACAAATTGTCTGCCAAATTATTAATAGATGTGTTGCTCTTCAGATTTCAAACTCAAACTGGGTTTTCCCATGGGAATTTTTACGTAACGGTGGGAAAAAAGCATGATCTGAAATTCAGAGATACAAACAGCCTTGTGAATTCAGCATTTCTTCCCGCCGGGTGGGTATTTTGTGCTTCTTCTCCCAGAGAAAAGTCTTGCAGTATAAAGAAAAGGTATTCCATCCAAAAAAGCAGCAAATGTTTTAAAATTTCGATTCCCACCAAAGTCTCTCAGCAGGGTGGTGCTACCACAACCTAAAGCAAGAAAAGAAAGTCATTTTTGTAAATTCTTTCAGAAGTAGATTCCTCTCCCCTCTCACATAGCAGCCCACTGGACTTGGCATAGACACTTGGGGGGGGAAGGTCAAAAATTGTCTTTTTTTACAGCAATCTGCAGTGGAGGTGGGGCTTTGCAGGGCCTTTTCTATATAGCACCTGACTCAAAGCCAATATCTCTCTTTTTTTTTTACATTTGAACTAATGATGACAGATTTAAAAGATACATGTAAGGATCTGGGGCTCCAGACCTCAGGAGCCAGATCTTCTTTGGCATGGATGCTGCTGAATGCTGCAAAATTTGTTTTTTCCTCCGGAGGTGGGTGTCTGCCTCCGTTGGCCTTTCCTTCATCACGGGCGGGCGCTCCCGGCAGAGAAGCTGGAACTTGGCCCTGCAAGGGGCTGCAAAAACACCGCTACAGAAGCGCCCAAGTCAAGAAAACAAAACGGCCGTCCTTGCGAACAGATAACAGAAAGCAAAAAGAGACCGTGAGACTCTTACTTGCAAAATCCCGTCCGTGACGAGGAACCAGGCTTGGCTTCCACTTCAGTTTTTGTACAGGTTAAACCATGGCACCCATCCCTTCTCCGCAAGGTGGAGGCAGGCAGACCCGCAGCCGGGTGACGCCGCTCTCTCGAGTGTCGGCGTCCTTTAAAGATGCCAGCGTTCCTTTAAAGACGCTAGATTCATCATCTACTGGTGGGACTGGCAGAGTTAAAACAGTAGAACGGGTGCATGAAGACAAGCTCCTAACAGCACACCTTCTCTTCCAAGTGTCTGCTACTACCTCTGTGTCGAAGAAAAGGTCACGGCTGGCAGTTTTCTTTATGGTAGAGGTCCTAAAGATGGACATTAGGTGTATACATTAATTTTACCTCCCAACTTCATTGCCTTGGCTGAGAAAGTTGTACAAAAGCTGATTATCCAATTTCTAGCCTTCGGCACTAGGATAGAGATGAACTTTGCAAAAGGGGAAAGACTCCCACTACCTTTTAATGGTCACTGTCCCCGCTGCCGTCCCCGCCGGCCTTTGGCTCACCCTTTGCCACCACCTTGGCACCAGCTGAGGAATGGGAACAGGCACGCACTACCCATAGCATGCAGGTCATGTGCGAGGAGCAGGTCGTGACCACTTAGGCTGGAGTTGTGCCTCAGATCCCAGCACTGTCTGCAGAGAGAAACAGGTATTTAATCTGTTCAGGGCAAAGTTTAAAAAATAAGCATGAAAATAAAAATCCTGCATAGCCAAAAGGGGATAAAAATCTCTCTCCTTCTACCATAAGGGGACAGAAAGATCAGATCATTCTTCATTTTTGTAGTGTTTTACACCCCCCCACAAAAAAAGTAACGCACTTTAGTCTCTGGGGTTGGGGAAAAAAAAATAAATCACTAACCTGCCATGGTTCTTGGATAGTGTTTCAGATCCTTCCCAATTCCGCAGGTAAATACAGGACAAGCCAGTAAACAAGCATTGTCTTCCTTTGAGACCATTCCTGTTCCCAAATTTCTTGCAATCCTTGAGAACTTTCTCAATTCAGAATTGGAAAGACTTACACTTTGGGGTGGAACAAGAGAAATACTTTGCATTTTTGATACTTTACCACCACAAACATTTTTGCCTGTGTAGTATTGCCCTCTGCTGGCACCGGTCTGGGGAGCTTCACGAGCCCCATGGTGGAGCGTGCTGGTGGGTTCATCTCCTCTCGGAAGTGTCTTTCAAAGGCAAGGATCCGAGTGCTCGTTCACAGTTGTCTTGATCCACGTAGTGCTCATGGTTTGATGTATTTCGACAACAGAGAATCTTTTATGGACAGGGTTTTGTTTTAATATGGCTTTAAAAGCATTAGAGGTCTTTGATAATCATTCATTTTCCAGTGAATATTCTAAGAATCCATATTCGGTTTCGTGTAGGACCTGCCCTTTGAAGACGGTTGCATTAAACATCAATGCAGTATGGCATGGTATGCTCTGAAGTAACAGAAATCTCCTTTTTTCTTCTTTTTTTTTCCCCCCACTAGTGTCACCTCATTCACTATCTGAGGCTCAGCCATCACTTGATAGTTCTGAATTCTTTGATTTGTACCTTTGACAAGCTGAAGTCTGTCTCCTCTGAGGACATCACCATCACGGATGCTGTTTTTGACGGTGTGGAAGTCAGAGTGTTCGAACCTCCGGTGAAGCGAGACGAAAGGCTCAAGCGCGGCATTGTGTACATCCACGGAGGGGGCTGGGCCTTGGCAAGCGCAAGTATGTGTTTGCCAGTAATTAAATAGGATTTTGGTCTGGTTTCCTCCTAGCAGGAGAAGCCAAAAGGTTTTTTTTTCCTGCCAGGGGTGACGATTTTGCTAAGATGTACCTGAATTCAGTAGTAAATATCTCCACTCTGGTAGATCAGCTGTAAGGAGGGGGGAAAAAATATCGTGAACACCCAGCAAGAATGCGGATCTTCTCTGCACGTGAGCTGTAAAAGAACCAAAAGGTTAATTTTGTTACATCCTGAGAGGAAAAAATAGTTTATTGTTTAAATTCCTGAGATGCCTGGATGGGCTGTTTGGGCCAGTCCCCTGTTTTCTATGGTCACGTGCAAATGTCGATCCTTGGTGATCAGGATCCAGTGTAAGAGGTTTGCCCCATTTTCGCACACTAATTAGCAGAAGAGTGGGCTGAACAACACCGCATGTAGCAACACGGCTGATGTTTGGCTCTTAAGTTACGCGTACGTGGGCATACATGCTGCTGGCCACAGGGAACGGCCGGCGCGACGAAGGAAACGGCTGGAGGTCGGTTCCTGTCCCATGATTTCACCACCCCAGCTTAGGGGACCACTGCCACCACTAAGAGAAATTACCTTGAAAATTACTGCTGTTTACTCCAATTAACTTGGAAGCCACAGACATGGTCCGAGAAAGTAAGGCAGTAAGCTAACCGCTGCTCCTTCCATGTCGTACAGGAGGAGAAAAGCCTTGGGAGGAGAAAGGGTGTGAGGTTCTCATGGCTGCCCCGAGATCCAGATCCGACAGGAGCCTTCCCCCATTCCCTTCCCCGTTGCTCCTGAGATGCCATGAAGTCCATGTGGCCCTCATGCAGCTTCATCTATAGAGGAAGAACATTGATGGGGTTTTCCAGAATGTTCCAAAACAGAGACTGTATTGACTGTGTTTGGACTATTCATGTATAAGTCACTTAGAGCATGATTTAAGAGAGATTTAGGTTCCTAAATAACCTTAAAATCTGTCCTTCATGTGCTTTTGGAAATCCCAGTCTCTTTGTCCTGTAGTCCCATAGCAGTTAGAAATTTTGCTCCTCTTACCTAACAGAGGAATTGGTGCTTTGAGGTGGGGTTTCTTAGGCCTGCCCAAGCGATGTTCACTGGCGTCCTGCCTGCCTCATTTGTTCTGTAACAGTTTGTACATGACTCTGCCTGCACAAAAGTTTATATTAAATGACTGTGCTTTGCTTGGGCGGCTGTAACTCGGCTATGTCAGGTGCTATCCTCGAGTCCAAGATGCAGAAGTTAATGGCACGGATGTTACAGCTAAATATTAAATTCTAAGACCAGATACTTTAGACAACACTTAGTGTCTTAGTATATTTTATCGTACCGGGAACCAACGATTTAAGTTACTGGAAAGGAATAAAATTAAAGAAAATCAGTCCACTGATAAATAGGATAGCTGTGATTAATCCTCCCTTAAACGAGTAGTTCAATTGACGTTAATAGGGCAACTCATTTGAATCAAAGCAATGCACGCTATCATAAAATGATCAACAAGCAGTGACTCATGCAGTGATAACTGTCTCTGGATGCTCACGCCCCCAAGCCACTGGGTACCTTAAATTTTGCCCGACTGAGAGAATTGTGATAGGTGGACGCAATGAGATGCCCCAAGTCACCAAGAAACAGATGAGCAAGAACGCACCGGACTGCAGGACTTCTCAAGGCGTGAACTAAGTCCCTTCCGCTACGATACGTATTTGGCATTTCATCTACTGCAAGCTGATCTCATTTGCTTGGCTTATATTTGTATCAGGTCGTTATATTTTCTGAGAAGGCTTTGCGACTACTGACATAAATGGACTCCTATGTCCCTAACACTGTGTCCTTTCGTTCCAGGAACAAGTCTTTATAACAATCTCTGCAGAATCATGGCTGAATCTCTCAACGCCGTCGTTGTCTCAGTTGAGTGAGTAATCTAAAACTAATCGAGTCATTTTAAGGTATTAGAAATACGTAACGTAACTCTCTTAGCTTTTCCCTTGCTACTGGCCTGTGTATAAGGCTTTAACTTGGGTAATAATTCTCTTTACCCATCTCATATTTTCACCCTTCTAAAATAACAACAAATTGGAACGGTGTCAAAAATTCATTTGGGTTTCTAATTATTTTAGAGGTCGTTTTAGAAGGCAGAAATGTGGGAAAGGAAAGTAGCACTTAATTCAGTTGGACAAAGACTAAAATGCAAATTTTTAGTGCATCTTGCAATCGTGTCCACATGGAAGGAGTGCAGCTAAAACCTGCCATCACCCAAGTGCCAACTTACGATTCTGTAAATACTTGTGAACTTTTAAAACAAACAAAAAAAAAACCCCAAACACATTTGGGCATGCTGCATACCTGAAGGAAGGCTGAACCACATCTCTATGTCTGCTCATGTAGCAAGAGGGACTTTTCCATTTTAATATATATAATATTAAAAAATATATATTAACCCCCCCGAAGTCTGTCTATAAACCACAGTTTCTAAGCCATATCAAGCAAGGGTCTGCAACGTAAAAATTGTCAATGCAGTTTACCCCTGCTCATGAACCAGGCTACAGTGGAGCCTGGCAGTTCCCCGCTGCTCTCTCGGTCTCCCGCTGTTCCACTCATCTCATTTGAGCCTTGCACGCCACTCGAGAGGAGAGGACTGCCAGGGTGCCAGACAACAGCAGAGCAGGGCTGCTTTTTTAACGTGCTGAACAATTCCAAGGTAAACAAACCTCTCGACTAGCTAACTTACAGCACCTGGCTGGCTCCAACTTGATGGGCACTTTTCCCATCCTCATTGTCAACTTCAATATTCTCTTTTGCAAACCCAATCACTTGAGAGAACTACTCAAGTTTTCTCACCTACAGCTGGTGACATACCAAGCTCTGTGATCTAATTGCGACGTAATTATATGGAGTTGATGATACTGATAGCCTACTTTAAAGGGTTGCACTTTTTTTATTTCTTTGTTCTTTATTAGTAGAAACAATGAAAAGTAAAAAAGCAGCTGTGGGTTACTCGAGATGAGCAGTGATCACAGTATTGAAAAGTTCCTTCTTATTCCTTTTCTGATTTATGGTGGTATAACTCTGCCTGTTTCTCGGAGTTATTGTTTACCTCTTCTCCTTAGCCATTTAATCTTCCAGTCAAGGTGTTTGTACTCAATTAGTAAAGACTAATTAGATTTCTCATTGGTTTAATTGCACGCCTCGCTTTCACGGTATATGCACAGTCCATTACCCAGTTTTGCGAGGAGTTCCCAAAGGGCTCTCATATTCCTTCGTAGCTGATGCAACATACAGATTGCTTTCTGAAAGCAGGACAGATACGGAGTTTGAAACACTTTTTGCGTAAGCTAAGTTTAAAATTTATTCTGCATGTGAAACTTTTTTTTAGCTTAGGTTCTGAAGAAAATGTTTTGAATCAGAAAGCTGGATTTTGGTTTGCTTGTTTTGCTCGGCTCTACTGATAATGTGTAAAATCCATAGAATCATAGAACGTTTTGGGTTGGAAGGGACCCCTAGAGGTCATCTAGTCCAACCCCCCTGCAGTGGGCAGGGACACCGCTAACTAGATCAGGTTGCTCACAGCCCCGTCCATTAACTGAAAAGCTACAAACAGAAGACATGCTTGGTACCGTAAGGGCTAGTAACATCTCTTAGAACACAAATTATTCAGTAGCTATGAATGGACTTCACTGTTATTTCGAAACTCGGAAAATCTCATGAGTGGGACTCAGCTGCTGACTGTTCCTGGGCAGACTGTGTGCCCCCTGTGCCTCAGTCTCTGCACCTGCGCAATGGGTATATTCCTGCCCCACTCCTCGAGAAAGGAGCGGAATTACTGAATTGCACTGGAGCAAATTGGTATTTGCTTCTTGGCTGCCGCTCATGTCATGGCACAGAGGTATAGCAAGGGTCATTCTCTCCTGTGCATAGGTAAAAATTCAGGGTACAGAACTGCTTAGCTGTTTGGCTCGGTGGAATCTGCTGGGCGTATATGACCGACTCTGCCTCGTACTAGTTCAGGTAGGGCTTTGGATCCAAGCCAGCCTGATTGTAATGCCTCCCTTGCCAAGGGTGTTTTAAATATTCGTTCATTTTTATAATGCATGATGAAACCCTCTGTTGGGAAATTCTCAGGAAGCGCTGCACAATTTTTTACTATCTTGGTATTATTCATATCTAGTCGGTTCATATTAATCTTTCAGAATTAGAGCATTAATTACAAGATTAAGTCTTGCATAAGAATTACACACCTCATATTTATTCCGTAATATTTATCCTAATGAAATAGTTATTTGCCATTAAGGAATACCTGATATTGCCTATTAATCCTGAAAGAGAGGTAACGCTGATGGTGATAATCGTCATCTCTTTTCTTTGTAGATACAGGCTGGTACCAGAGGTGTGCTTCCCCGAGCAATTCCACGATGCTCTTCGTGCTACTAAGCATTTTTTGCAGCCCGATGTCCTAGCTGAGTATTCCATTGACCCGAGTCGAATCGCAATTTCTGGCGACAGCGCAGGAGGGAATTTGGCGGCTGCTGTGTGTCAGCAGGTAACGTCCAGTGTCCGTTGCGTTATTCCCCAGCGGCAGTCCCGAACGCAGCGACGTGTGTAGGTTGACAGCTCCTTTCTGCTGTGTCATCACGAGGCGATGGGCCATCCCGAAAGACAGAATGGTAGAAAGCCAGCAGCTAGTCACCTTACAGAAGAAAAACGAGTCAGTCGCAATATGAATCACATAGCCTGCAACGTCTTACTACGGTGACGAGTTGTTATAGGCCAGATTTTAAGAGCAAGTACCTAAATGACCTTTTTCACCCCTTTTGCTGGTGAATTCTTTCTTTTTCGAAGTAGGTAACTAGGTGCCTGCGTAATTTATCAACTTAACTTCCTATTTTTAGATGCTTGTCTCTGAAAATAGGTTTTTATTTCTTTCAAACGCAAACGAAGGACAAAATCTACAAAAAGTGAAGCTTAATTCTTCTGGTAAATTGTCTTCCTGTAGCATTTCGCAATTTTAAGGAAATTTCTTTTGAGTATCTGCAGTTTAAATGTAATCTGAATTTAATCTAGTAAAGATTTTAAAGGCAGCCTGGGGCAAGTAATAATATTTTTCATGCTTGAGTGAAATATTATTATTAGCTTTTTTGTATTGCCATAATCATTGGTGATAAGAAAGCAGATACCATGTCCGGGCAACTAATTATCATGACAACCTTGCAATATTGAATTAGGGTGAAAAAATGAATTAGGGGCAATTACACTAAAAGCTTTGATATTCAGGACTGATAAACATGATAGTACCATGGTTTGGAAGCAGCATTCCTAATTCGTTTCCCTGATGCATAGTTCTTTTTAAATCGGTGATGTAGGACTGATTCAGGGAGAGGTTAAATACACTAAGATTCTTCAGCCTGAAAAAAAGAGGCAGACAAGATGAGAGGTGATGGAGAACCGTGTATCTTGTGTAGAAGATGCAGCAAAACAAGTGTTTGCTGATTCTTCCAGAAAAAGATTCGGGGGAACCGCATGTAAAATTGGTACCGAATCAATCAGATCAAATGCAGATGACAGGTTCAAGTCAAACACAGAGCGGTGCTTCTGTACACGGTGAGCTTTTGCTCACGGATGCCAACTGTTTGCATATGCTCAAAAAAACAATTAGATAAATTCATGGAAGAAAAATCCGTGAAAACTCTCAAAAGCAAGACTAGCTCCTTTGCTTCAGGAAGACCTTCAGTTGCAAAATGTTAAACTGGGAACTGCGCTAGCTAAATGCCGCTTTACAGTTTTTTTTTCTTCCTACACCTTTCAACTTCTGCCACTGGTTTCTGCTGGAGACAGGGTACTGGGTCTGCCTGGATGGCCATCCTTGTAAGGAGAAGAAAACGATCAGGCTGCTAATACTTGAGACAAAAGAGCAACATTACCTGCGTAAGGGCAGAATTCGGCCTAAAAATTGTCAAATGAATGGTGGCTTGTATGAATTTAAGGTTGCTACTGTAATGTTTATTTTCTTTATAATCCCAATTCTATCCTATATTCTTCCCACAGCTTAGCAAAGATGAGCATTTGACCATCAAACCCAAACTGCAGGCCTTAATTTATCCAGTCCTTCAGGCATTTGACTTCAATACACCTTCCTATCAGCAGAACATGAATATGCCCGTTCTTCCTCGTTACGTCATGATCAACTATTGGATAGATTATTTCAATGGCAATTACGACTTGGCTCACTCGCTGCTAATTAACAACCACACTGCTCTTGACGTCAGCCAAGCTCTCTCTTTCAGAGGCCGTCTGAACTGGACATCTCTACTGCCTTCATCGTTCAAAAAGAACTACAAGCCTGTAATACAAACCACAGGCAAGGCCGAAATCATCCAGGAGATACCGGCGCTGCTTGATGTACGAGCAGTTCCGCTCCTTGCGGAAAATGAAACTCTGCAGCTGCAGCCAAAGACTTACATCCTGACCTGCGAGAACGACGTCCTGCGAGACGACGGGGTGATGTACGCCAAGCGCTTGGAGAACGCCGGCGTGGAAGTCACGCTCGATCACTTCGACGACTGCTTTCACGGCTGTATGATATTCACCGTTTGGCCTACGGATTTCTCTGCGGGCGTTCAGACCAGGAACAGCTACATCAAATGGCTGGATGAAAACCTCTGAAGGGGGAGTCTCTCTAGAAGACACGGGGTGCGCAACTCTGGTGTCCGTTCTTGCTGGAGAGCAAACAACGCAGAAGTGCACTTTTCCAAATTCAGACTTCACCCCTTCAGCTGCAGTGCTGGGGGTTACACACCACTAACTACAGCGTTCACTGGCTCCACTGGCCTTGCCCAGCAAAGAATTTTGAGAAATACTTTTTCAAACTTTGATTTCTTCCCCCCCCCCCCTCCTTTTTTTTTTTTTTCAGTTGACAGTTACCAAATGCAAACAAACGTTGAGCAGGGCGATCAGCATTCCTGTAGCATCCTTAACCAGCCGCAACTTTCGAGCTTTGACTCTCAACTAGGTCCAATGGCCACAGTTTTCAAATGATGTGAAGTAAAGCCAAACACCTACATCTACATCTGAATAGGTAAAAATGGGAGCTGGTTTTCAACAGTGCTGAGCCCTTGATGTCAAAGAAAGTGTGAGAGCTCTCACCTTTGACAGCAGAGCCATGCATTTGAATGTCAAGCCTGGATTTAGGTGTTGGCTTTTAGTCTCATAGACAAATGGCTCATTTAAATTTAAAAAAAAAAAGCTCTTCTAGGCAGTTAAGATGATGCTAGACAAGTCTCCCAGCCAAACATGCAATTCAGCTTTGGAATTTGGTCCTTATTGCCTTCTAGTTATTTATATTTTATAAAAGCACAGGACTAAATATATTTTCAATAAAAAGCATTACAGCATACATACGAATATATAGGATCAAATACTATGTGTAGCAGCAGAATCCCAGTTGTTTATGTGGGAGTGAGCTTCAAAGCTGACTGCTTATTTGGCTGAAGAATGTGACTTGGTGTTGAAAGCCTCAGCTTCCTAACCTTACAGAAAATACTGAGCATACTAAAAAAAATATCTACTGTGTGGTTTGCACTAATGTTTATAATAATAGTTGGGTTTGTTCATTGACTTTTCTTTTGTGCTCGTAGTGTTTGTGATTATTTCACGCTTCCTGGAAAGAGGGAAGCAAGTAAATAGAAGTGGGCTCTAGCCTATGCGGAAGATTTAAACCTGAGCTTTGCAGCTAAACTTTATCTTGCAGGCTGACCTAGAGCGCTAGGTAAGGGGATCTTGCAAATCTCTACGGCCTGAGTCAGTCTCTAAAATTCAGACAGGCAGGACAGGGAAGTGAAACCTCTTGCGCCGGCGCCTGTTGCCCAGCTTACTGCTTGCAGAAAGGAAGGTTGTGCAAAAGCCCGGTTTCTAGGCAAAGAGGAGAGAATGGCTGCCCCGTGACTAAACCGGTGGATTAAATTCATCCTCTGCTTTACCACAGACTTCCCGCGGGACGCTGGGAGAACAACTTCATCTCCTTATGCCTCCCTTTCTTCTGCTGCAAGGAGGGAGCAGCGATTCCCTACCCCACAAATTGCAGAAAGGAAGGTTGTGCAAAAGCCCGGTTTCTAGGCAAAGAGGAGAGAATGGCTGCCCCGTGACTAAACCGGTGGATTAAATTCATCCTCTGCTTTACCACAGACTTCCCGCGGGACGCTGGGAGAACAACTTCATCTCCTTATGCCTCCCTTTCTTCTGCTGCAAGGAGGGAGCAGCGATTCCCTACCCCACAAAGGAGCTGCGAAGCTGGAGCCACAGGCGCTGGCGAAGCACGCGGCTGTGGCTGGCGGGCACCAAACACCTCCCGTAGGTTTTGGTTTTCCATCCATCTCTAATAGCTGGCCCCGAGCAGCCCTGCCCCATGATGGGTGATGCGGGGAGACTGCGGGTCCTCCCGGCAGTCAGCTCGTCTCCATCCCGGCTCCGGTGACACTACCGTAAGGTGAAGGCTTCCTGGCTGTTGGGAGAGCACGGGAGAGGTAATTTCATGAGGGCATTTCTTACGGCAGGATTCTGAAAAGTTCTTTAAGGAAAAAAAAAAAAAAGGCACAGATCAAACTGCCTTCTGTCCTTTCAAATCTATACAGACCAGTCCGCTTTCAGTGGTATTTAAGTAAGTGAACGGCTTTGCCGAATCATTGCTTCCTACAAGCATCAGGTTGTTAATGTGGTTGTGTGTATTAAGAAAAGCTTTTCATGAGCAAGGGCCTCGGTGTAGGCTCAGTCATGTAGGCTGAAGCTCATTTCTGGGCATAGGTTCACATGGAGGTCGCAAGCCAAAGCTTTTCCAACAGTGGCTCAGATTCTTCTTCCATTTAGATCGTTGCAAGGACTCGGTGGAATTAGAGCAGCTGAGTGACAATCTGAATCGGAATAAATTTTCATCAGGATATCCAATTAACGCTGCAGAAGAATTAGAACTTTTTTTTTCCTGGATGTAAACCCTCTTTCCTCCTTTCCCCCATAAACACAACTTCAGTAGATATAATTTACACTTAAAACAGACAGCAAGGTTACGCCCATTCTAAAGACAAATCACTAATCTTGAAGAAGGGTCTGCTCCAGCGTGCTTTCCCCTGTACGGAGGCAGGGCCATTTACTTGACTTTAGACCATGACTTGCAGAGTCAAAAGCTGTCGTTAGGCCCGGCTGTAACACCAGGCTTCTTCCTGGCTTTCCCACTTCAAGAGTAAAGCCATGTCAGAAAAGATGTAATTTATATCCACCTGCCATCATTAAAAGACAGTAACTGTACTACTGGAAAAAAAGTGGTTAATATTCCTATAAATTCTATAATAATTAAGTTTGCAAAGGTTTAGATCAGCATTTGTTTATAGCTAAGTTATAAATATCTGCTATAAAGCTATAATATAATTACTGCTGTTTGGGTGGGTTTTTTTTTTAAACTGAACTGAAATGGAGAGCTGGAATATATATTCCTGGAGTCAGCTGTAAATTTTCTTCATGCACTGAAGCACATTAAAGTCTTGGCACAAGAAATAGTAGTAAGTAGATAACTGGACTGAATGTGTTTACTAAGCCATCACCAGCGTGACGCGACATCCAAGATCGCAGCACAACTTGGATGAGGTGTTACAGTAATAACTAGGTCTGTTAAAATATCTCGACTACTCTTATCATGCAGCTATATGGTTTAAGTCTGCGATAGCTGCAAAGATACTTGATGGAACCTATAATATATAAAAAAGAGGCGTGAGTTCCAACTAGAAAAAGACCTTTTAGTATAGAGCCGCACAAGGCGCTTGATTAAAATTCAGCGTAAACGCTGAAGTCGGTGTTAGTTCAAACTCAGCTTTCCTCCTACCTTGCTTTGTTGCCCTTGGCACACAGTCCCCGTGCCTGACGCGGAAAGTTTAGGGTTGTTTCCAGCTGAGCTGCTGCAAGCTCCTGGACGCTGAGCACCAACTCAGGGGCGAGCTCAACCGGGGCTGGCGGGCATGGTTACAGACGGCCGACGCCTGGTAGCGAGAGATTAAGATTAATGCATGGTACAACACCTCGATTTGTCCATGTGTTTAGTCCTACGTCTCCTGAGATGTTTCCTTGGGTCTACCCAGCACCTTCAGTCCTTGGTTATTTCTCAAAGCAGTTCAAGGCACTTTGCGTGTTGTAGGACCAGATCAGGTATTTGTAACAATATTTCACCTGTGCATAGGAAAAAGTTTTCTAAAAGAAGTCAGGCAATAAATTTGTCTGCTTACCTTTTCGTTAAATCAACAAGCATAACTACTTTTTGAAGATTGCTTTTTTTTTTCCCTGCTCCTACAATTAGAATTTATCTGTTTCAAAAATAGCTTGTTCCTGATGGCCCTCAAAGCATTCAAATGTAAGCTTTAAACAAATAAAGAGCTCACATAAGAGAACCCATAGTTATTTATATCCTATTTCCATAGACCTGGGAACTATATTAGCAGGTCCCCAGTATTTTGGCCAGTATTCGCAGGAATAAATAGAAGTTTTGTCTCCCTAGCTTAGGACCTCTTCAAGGATGGGTGTTTGGCATTTCTGGAAACCCAGACACGTTGAAAGGTGTTTTGTAGTGTATAAAAATCACTAATAACTTGAATTTCCTAACCTTCATCTAAGTAATTCCAAAATTGCATCCCTAGCCAAAGCAGAAAGGCCATCGTGGGTTTAAGGCCTACAAACTGAAAAGAAATGCTTTATCTTTAAGACATTGTTTTGTAGTGTTTGGGCCACTGTATTTTTTAATTAGGTGCATCATGGGTATATTTTTTAATCTCTTTCTAAACTTTATGAGAAGCTTCTTTCAAACAAACATAAGTAGGTTAACCTGTCTTAAACCTTTTAAGCTGCTATGATCTGTAACGACGTTAAAAAAAAGCAAAACCAGCTGGTCTCATGTCGTCTTATTTGTGATGTTCAAAACCCCAAAGTGCAACATACTTGATGTAAATGCATTCGATATCTTACGCATGGCCGTGTTTTGCTTCTTTCCCAGTGCAGGGCGAAGATCTTGTAAGATCTAATCAGTAACTGTGATTGAAATGTGCTATCAAAATGAAGAACAAATAAATAAAATCAAATGTATCTGGGACTTTTGTTTTTTCCCTGCCCCAGGACCACTGATTTTTTTTTTCTCCCAGTTGTACCACATTTCCAATTTGAGTTTTCACTTAGCAGAGGTGCAGAAAACAAAACGGGAGAGCTCAAGAGTTCCTGAAGAAGCGCTGAACCGAAGCCAAGGTGGTTGTTTCCAAGGCAGGAGACCTTGCCTGTGTGTCCGTGCCCTGCGAGGGCATCCTCCTCTTTCTTCGTTGCTGCCAAATGAGTGCGTGACACCCTAGCATAAGGGGTGATTCCTCCACGACCGCTGTTCCTCTCGTTCAAGACAGACGGTGGGGCTCGCGTTCTCCATTCTGATCTATAAACACATTTTTATATGTTTATAAATGATTCGCATGTTTGAAATCTGGTTTGGCCAGTGAAAGTCCTAGCTCTGCTTTCATTCCTATTTGCCTGCCTTTCACATTCTTTCTCTCTGAACTCTTGCTCATTTTCATCCCCTGCGCTCTCCTTTATTACTGGTCATCCCAGCATTACTTTTGAAATACTCTAGCATGGGGGTTTGCCATTTTGTCCAGCAGGGTCCTGTGATTTTCATGCAATATAAAGCTTTCCTCCTGCCGAAAAAAACGCTAGGGAATAAGCTTCAAAGTGCTTACAAGCCTATTTTTAAGTCAGCAGGAGTCATACCCCTGCTTGCATTGAATTGAATGCATTGAAAACCAGGCTGGGCCCCGTAGAACATTTTTTTGCAGTCATGTTTTCTTAGATTTGGTGTAAAGCCTGACTGCGCAGGGCTTGGCAAGGCCAGGGCATGGCTGGGTGCCACCACGGGCACCATCCCATGCCGGGTGCCACTGCTGGAGGATGCACAGCGAGCGCCCGCCGAAGGATGCGCTGCTGTTTGCCACGATCCCACGGGCACCCGGCTGCCACCTGAGGGCCAGCGAAGCCTCTGCCACGAAATCCTCAACAGCACCTTCACGTGGCATCAGAGGAGCATGCGAGGCTTCTGAATCCAAGTGTTAATCTGCCATAGACGCAGCACTTTTTTTGTTTTTGCAGAACTGCGGTGCTGTTGCGTACGAGACATCCGCGTGGGGCTGGCTGACGCAGCAAAACTCACGGGGGAGGCAAGTTTGGAGAATGAGCCGGTGGCCAAGCGCAGCTCCGGTGGCGCTGGCTGCCTCCGTGGTGCCGGAGCCGTGCGTCCCCGCTCCCATTGCAGCACCCTCATGGATCGTTGGAGCTGGGCCACGCTTTATTTTGTTCATCCCCAGGGGAGGCAGACACTTTCTCCTCACTCTGGATTCCATTTTTGCTGGCACTAATCCAGTGGCATTTATTTCCTTTATAAGTGTCGTTTAAACAGTTGGCAGCGCATCATTAATAGAAGGCTACGTTTTACCCCTAATGTAAATTTAATAATTCTTCACGGTGATTTTCTACAGCATTTTAAAGTGTTTATCAACTGCTCAACAGGAAGACAGGCAAAAGAAAACAAAAAAGGAACCCTGCAATGGCTCCTTTAAAACTTTTTTTTTACAGAAACTACGTTTTAAATAACTCTTTCTGGCTTTATCTAAGCAAGACAACACTAAACATTTCCATCTCAACCACTTGTCCTTTTCTGAAGCAGAATCTCTACAAACCACAGCGCTTCCCATCATAAGACATAAGCCTAGGGATACAGGAGAGGCAGAGTTTGTTAAAGGAGAGAATATATTTTATATTGAGAGATTAAAACCAGCAATAATAATCGGTGTTTCAGAAAGCTACTCCTCCCACAACCATCGTACTAGTATCGGGACTGGCGCGGGACACGCAGTGCCATCGAGACGTGGGATTCAGTGTGGTGGAGGAATAAATAAGGGGGTTTTTGCTGTCATGGAATCATAGAATCATAGAATCTTTTGGGTTGGAAGGGACCCCTAGAGGCCACCCAGCCCAACCCCCC